GGGGGGGGGGCGCGGGTGCAGCATCCAGTTCGGGGATGGGGGCGCGTTATCTCCCAGTTTTGGCATGGGGGGGGTCAGTATCCTGTTGGGGATGGGGGGCCACTGTCAGGTTTGGGGATGAGGGGGCACTGCCCTGTTTCTTGACAGTGGGGAGGCAGTGTGCGGAATCAGTGTCCTGTATGGGGATGGGGGGGCCAGTGTCCGGTTTAGGGATAGGTGGGCAGTGCCCGGTTTGTGGATGGCCGGGGCATTCAATGTCCAGTTTGGGGATGGGGCACAGTGCCCGGTTTGGGGAATGGGGGCGCAGTGCTCGGTTTGGGGAATGGAATGGGCAGTTTTGGAGAATGGGGGAAGGGCAGTTTTGGAGAATGGGGGCGCAGTTTTGGGGGAATGGGGGGCAGTTTTGAAGGAATGGGGGGGGAAGTTTTGAAGGAATGGGGGGGGTGCAGTGCCAAGTTTGGAGATGAGGCTCAATGCCAGTTTTCGGGAAAGGGGTGATTGCCTGGCTTTTGGGAGGATACGAGTCCACATCTGAGAAGAATCATTCCCTGGTTTTGGAGGTGAAGGTGGTGCTTTAGTTTCCCGAGGACCCCTACATTAACTCACCGACAACCAGCAGGGGACGGCACTGCCCTCTTGTGTAATTGCATTTGTAGATCCTCCCAGTTCGTGTGCCGGTCTCATTCACCTCGAGGGGGGCACTGACTATGATCCTGCACCGGGACAAGAGACAGAATGCGACAACGTTATGAGAAACAACATGGGTTACGAAGGAGAAGATAGAGGGAGACAGGGGGGATGAAGGAGGATGGAAGGAGCAAGAGGAGGATGGGGTGGGTGTGGGAGAGAGATAGGGAATGGGGGAAGGGAGAGGAGAATGAAGGGATGAAGTGGACGGGGAGGGGAGGAGAAGTAGAGGAGAAAGGGGTAGGGGAGCAAAGATGGTGGATGGGAAGAAAGAGGGGACAGGAGGGTGACTGCAGGATGGTGAAACTGGGACAGTGCAAAAGAGGGAAAGGGGGCGATGAAGAGGATGGGAATGAAAGGAAGGGCGAAGGGAAGAGGGAGGGAAGAGAGGAGGAGATAGCGGGAGGGTGTAGAGGGGTAAACAGAGAAAGGGAGGAGGGGAGATTGGGAAGGGGAGACTTTTGAGCGAAGAGAGGGGATGGGAAGAACAGGAAGAGAAGGTTGGCAGAAAGGTGAGGGGAAGGGGAGGGAGAAGAGGTGGTGCTGGGGGCAGAGAGAGGGAAGGGAGAAGGAGAGAGGTGAGGGCATCGTGGGGAGAAAGGGAGATGGAGGGGCAGAGAGAGGGAGGAGAGAGAGGTGAGGGGGAAGGGGGGAGAGAAGGGAAAGTCGGGGGATGTAGAGTGAGGGACAGGCAAGAAAGGAGGGGGATGACGGGCAGACAGAGGGAGGGGAGAGTGGGAGGGAAAAGGAGGAGGAGAGATTCAGAAAGCGGGAGAGTTTGAAGTGGAGAAAAGGGGATGCAGTGAGTAGGAGAAGGGAGGGGTAGTACATAAGTATGGTTGAGGAAGGAGGGGAAGAGGACAGAAACAGCCCCCATTTGAACACAGCCGACAAAACCCTCTCCACACCTTGGCCAATATCCCTCTCCCAATCTGCCGCCTCCACCACCACTCTTGCAGCACGTTTCAGACTCCTACCACTCACTGTGTATAAAATTTGCCCCTCACATCTCCTTTGAACTTTCCCCTTCTCACGTTAAATGCATGCCCCCTACACTTCAACTCTGGGAAAAAGATTCTGGCCATCAACCCTATCTATGCATCTCATCATCTTACTGACTTCTATCAAGGCTCCCCTCAGCCTCTGCCACTTCAGAGAAAACAACCCAAGTTTTTACAGCCTTGCCTTACAACTCATACCCTCTAATCCAGGCAGCATCCTAGTAAACTGCTTCTGCACCCTCTCCAAAACCTCCACATCCTTCCTGTTATGTGGTGACCAGAAATGAGCGTAACACTCTTAAGTGCGGCTTAACCAATGTCTTATAAAGCTGCAACATGATATCCTGAACTTGTACTCAATTCCCCAACCAATAAAATCAGGCATATGCATTCTTGACCACCCTATTTACTTGTGTGGCCACTTTCAGGGAGCTATGGATGTGGACCCCAAGATCCTTCTGTACATCAATGCCGTTCAGGATCCTGCCATTAACTGTACATTTTTCCTTAACATTTGATCTCTCAAAGAGCAGCACCTCACACTTACCTGGATTAAACTCCATCTGCCATTTCTCCGCCCATATCTGCATCTGATCGATATCCCACTGAATCCTTTGACAACCTTCTACACTACCCACAACTCCACCGATCTTTGTACTGTCTGCAGACTTACTAACTCATGCATCTACATTTTCATCCAAGTCATTTAGATATATTATAACAGCAGAGGTCCCAGTACGGATTCCTGCAAAACACGACAAATTCACGGACCTCCAGCCTGATAAAACATCCTTTCACCACTGCACTCTGTCTTCTATGGGAAAACCAATTCTGAATCCAAGTGGCCGAGGCACCATGGATCCCATGCAGCTTAATCTTCTTAAGGAGCCTATCATGAGGGACCTTGTCGAAAGCCTTACTAAAATCCACATAAACAACATCCACTGCTCTACCGTCATTGATCACCTTTGTGTCACCTCCTCGAAAAACTCAATCAGATTAGTAAGGCAAGACCTGCCCCACGCAAGGCCATGTTGACCGTCCCTAATTAGGCCATACAACGATCTTGGTTAAGGCCCCAGCAATCTCCTCTCTTGCCTCTCTCAATACCCTGGGGTAGATGTCATCAGGCCCTGCGGACTTACCCACCTTAATGCTCTTCAAGAGACCCAAAACCACTTCTTTCTTGATCTCAAAATGCCCAAGCATATTAGCTTGCTCCTCACAAATCTCACTATCATAGATCATAGAATCTCTGCAGTGTGGAAACAGGCCCTTCGGCCCAACAAGTCCACACCCGACCCACAGAGCATCCCACCCAGACCCATCCACCTATAACCCACCTAACCTACACATCCCTGAACAATATGGGCAATTTAGCATGGCCAATCCACTAACCTGCACATCTTTGGACTGTGGGAGGAAACCGGAGCACCCGGAGGAAACCCATGTAGACACGAGGAGAATGTGCAAACTCCACACAGACAGTTGCCCGAGGGTGGAATCGAACCCAGGTCCCTGGCGTTGTGAGGCAGCAGTGCTAACCACTGGGCCTCCATGCTGTTGCAAAAGTGGAGTCAGTAGGATTCGAACCTATGCGGGGAACCCCCGCAGGATTGCAGACCCATTGCCTTAACCACTCGGTCATAACTACAGGTCCCAATCTTATCTTCCCTGATACTATCTTCCATACCCTTCTCCTGGGAGAATACCAATGCAAAATACTCATTTAGGATCTCACCTACATCCTCTGCCTCCGAGCACAAGTTCCCTCATTTATCCTTGATTAGTCCTACCTTCTTCCTAGTTATCCTCTGGTTTTTAATGTATTCATAGCATTCCTTAGGATTGTCTTTAATCCTCCTTGCCAAGGTCATTTCATGGCCTCTTCTTGCTCTCCTAATTCCCTGCTTGAGTTATTTTCTGCTTTCTTTATGTTCCTTGTGGACCCTGTCCGATTTTAGCTTCCTAAACCTTATACATGCTTCTTTTCTCCTCTTGAAAAAATTCACAACCTCCCTTGTTATTCAAGGGTCCCTTACCTTGCAATCCCTGTCCTTCCTTCTTACTGGAACATGCCAGTCCTGAACTCAGATCAGGAGGTCTTTAAACAACTTCCACATGTCAAGTTGGGGCTTGCCCAATAACAGCTCCTCTCAATTAACACTTCTTTGCTCCTGCCTAACACTGACATAATTTGCCCTCTCCGAGTACCCTCCCGCAAGGTCCTGACTTATTCAGAGCTATCTTAAAACTTAAGGAGTTGTGATCACTGTTTCCAAAATACTCTCCCACTGAAAGGACAGTCACCTGGCCAGGCTCATTAGCCAATACAAGGTCCAGTATGGCCCCTTCTCTGTTGGACTATCTACATACTGTTTCAAGAAGCCTACTTGGATGCACTTGACAAATTCTAACCCATCTAAGCCTCTTGCTCTAAGAGAGTCCTAGTCAATATTGGGGAAGTTAAAGTCATTCACTATGACAAGCCTTTTGTTATTGCATCTTTCCATAATCTGCCGATATATTTGTTCCTCAATCTCTTGGTGGCTGTTGGCATGCTATCAGAGTGATTGCATCTGTCTTATTTTTGAGCTCTACCCATATTGCCTCAGTGAATGAGCCCTCCACCATGTGCTCTCTGAGTGCAGATGTGACATTCACCCTGATTAATAATGCAACTCCTCCACCTCTTTTACCTTCCCCTCTATCTTGTCTGAAATAATGAAACCCTGGAAAGTTGAGCAGCCAGTCCTTGTCCTTCTCTCAACCAAGTCTCTGTAATGGCCACGACATCACAGTCCCATGTACTGGTCCAGGCTCTAAGCTCATCTGCCTTAACTACAATGCTCCTTGCATTAAAATAAAGACACTCCAGCCATTAGTACCATCGCGTTCATTTACCTGTCTCTGCCTGTCCTTCCTTCCTGATTTACTGATCCTAACATCTACCTTCCCCCTCAATCCCTCCACTTGCTGACCTGCTGCTCTGGTTCACAAATACCTGGTAATCAGATTTAAAAGTGTGAAGTGATTCATTTTGGAAGGTCAAATTTGAACGCAGAATACAGGATTGATGGCAGGATTCTCAGCAGTGTGCAGGAACAGAGAGATCTTGGGGTCCACGTCCATAGATCCCTCAAAGTTGCTACCCAAGTTGATAGGGTTGTAAAGAAGGCGTATGGTGTGTTGGCTTTCATTGGCAAGGGAATTGAATTTAAGAGCTGCGAGGTTATGCTGCAGGTCTATAAAACTGTGGTTAGACCACACTTGGAATATTGTGTTCAGTTCTGGTCACCTCATTATAGGAAAGATGTGGAAGCTTTAGAGAGGGTGCAGAGGAGATTTATCCGGATGCTGCCTGGACTGGAGGGCAGGTCTCTTGAGGCAAGGTTGAGGGAACTAGGGTTTTTTTCATTGGAACGAAGAAGGATGAGAGGTGACTTGATAGAGGTGTACAAGATGATGAGAGGCATAGATTGAGTGCATAGTCAGAGACTTTTTCAGAGGGCGGAAATGACTATTATGAGGGGTCATAATTTTAAGGTGATTGGAGGAAAGTATAGGGGAGATGTCAGAGGTAGGTTCTTCACACAGAGAGTGGTGGGTGTGTGGAATGCACTGCCAGCAGTGGTAGTGGAGTCAGATACTTTAGACACTTTTAAGTGACTCTTGGATAGGCACATGGAGGATAGTAAAATGTAGGGTATGCAGGGTAGATTGATCTTAGTAGGATAATAGGTGAGCACAACATCTTGGGCCGAAGGGCCTGTACTGCACTGTACTGTTCTACGTTCTATGTTCTAAACCCTGCCAACTTTCACTAGCAAATCTCCCTGCAAAGAGGTTGGTGTCAGTCAATTCCCCCTCGCTCAGGAAGATATCTGTACACTGACTGGTATCTCACAATCCCCTCCCTCTCTTAGGGAGATGTCAATACACTGACCGGCATCTCTCAGTCCCCTCTCGCTCTCAGGGAGATACCTGTACACTGACTAATGTCTCTCATTTGTCTCTCTCTCTCAGAGAGAGATATCATACTCAGAATTCCCTGGTGTGGAACAGGCCATTCAGTCCATCGGGTCCACACAGACGCTCCAAACAGCACACCTACCCTATCCCTGGGACCATGCATTTCCCATGGCTAATCCACCTAGCCTGCACATACCCGGACACTAGGAGCAATTTAGTGACAGCAAATCCACCTAACCTGTGCATTTTTGGACTGTGGGAGGAAAGCGGATCACCCTGAGGAAACCCATGGAGACACGGGGAGAATGTACAAAGTCCACACAGACAGTCACCCAAGTGTGGAATTGAACCCATGTCTGCGGTGCTGAGGCAGCAGTGCTAAGTGCATAGCCACGTTGCCACCCTCACCTTACACTGACTGGTGTCTCTTATTACTCTCTCTCTCTCTGTCTCTCAGCGAGATACCTCTAGACTGGCTGGTGTTTTTCAGTTCCCTCTCTCTGAGAGAGATATCTGTGCACTGACTGGTGTCTGTCTGTCTGTCTCTCTCAGGGTGATATTTGTACACTGGCTAGTGTTTTTCAGTCTCCCCTCTCTCTCTCTCTCAGGAAGATATCTGTACACTGACTGGTGTCTCTCTGTCCTGTCATTCTCTTGCAGGTAGATATCTGTACACTAACATTGTCCCTCAGACCTCCCCTCCCTTTCAGGGAGATATCTGCATCCTGACTTGTCCCTCAGTCCACTCTCTCTCTCTTTAAATGTTATCTGTACAATCATTCAGATTTTCAGTAACACCCATTCTCACAAGGAGTTATCTGTACACTGACTGGTGTCCCTTAGGCCACTCACTCTCTCTCAGGGAGATATCTGAACAGCAACTCACACCTCTCTGTTCTTTTCTTTCATGGAAGCAGCTATACACTGATATTTGCCTCTATGTTCCGTCCCACCTTCTCTCTATGGGGAGAGTATCTGGAGTCTCGTACTTACCTCATTCTCTCAGGGAGATATCTGTACACCGACTGGTGTCTCTCAGACCCCTCTTTCTTAGGGGGATATCTGTACACTGACTGGGATTTCGCTATACCACCCACACTCCGAGGCAGATATTTGTACATTGACTGGTATCCCTCAGTATGCACGCAATCAGGGAGATATCTGTGCACTAACTACTGTTTCTAAGTCCCCTCTCATTATCTCAGGTTATAAGGATGACATCTGTACATTGACTGGAGACTTTCAGTCCCTCCTCTCTCTCACCAGGTGATAACCGTACACTAGGATTATCTCTCAGTCCTCTTTGTCTCTCAGGAAGGTATTTGCTCACTGACTGATGACCCTCAGTCCACACTCTCTCTAAAAGTAATCTGTACACTCATTGAGCTTTCTCAGTACCCTGCAGTCTCATACAGAGACATCTATATACTGACTAGCATCACACAGTGCCTACCTTCACCCCCTCTCAGGGTGATATCCGTATCCTGACTGTTGTCCTTCAGTCCACTCTCTCTCCCTAAATGTTGTGTATACATTGACTCAGATTTCTCAGTAATACCCACTCTCATAAGGCGTTATCTATACATTGAATGGCTTTCCTCAGGCCATTCTCTCTCACACCTTTCAATTCTTCTCTTTTATGGAAATATCTGTATACTGATATTTGTCTCCTGAGTCCCATCCCTCTCTCCAAGGGAAAATATCTGGAGTCTTGCAGTCACCTCACTCTCTCAGGGAGAGATCTGTGCACCGATTGGTGTGTCTCAGACCCTTCTATCTCAGAGAGATAGCTGTGCACTGAATCACTCAGTCCTCCCCCTCTCTCTGAGAGAGATATATGTATCTCAGTACTGTCTGTCTCTCTGGAAGTCAATGGTATACATACCATTATTTCTAAGTCCCCTCTCTTTATCTCTCAGGGCAGTATCTGTGCACTGACTAGTGTCTCACAGTTCCCCCTCTCTCAGAGAGTTATCCGCACATGGACCTGTGTCCATCAGACCCCGCTTTCTCAGCCAGATATCTGTACACTGACTGGTTTCTTTCAGTCTCCTCTCTCTCAGAGAGATATTTGTACACTGACTTGAATTTCTCAGTACCAGCCACACTCAGAGGCAGATATCTGCACACTGACTGGTGTCCATCAGTCCTTTCTCAACAGGGATACCTGTACACTGCCTAGTGTTCTCAATCCCCACACACTGTCAGGGAGATGCAGCGACAATGACTTGCACCTCTCAGTTCTTCTCTTTTATGGAAATATCTGTGTACTGATATTTGTCTCTCAGTTCCACACCACCCTCTTTCTATGGAAAAATACTGGAGTCTTGCAGTCGCTTCTCTCTCTCTCAGGTGGATATCTGTACACTGACTGATGTCTCTCAGTCCCCTCTCTCTCTCTCTCCCAGGGAGATATCTGTACACTGACTGGTGTCTCTCAGTCCCCTCACTCTCTGTCAGGGAGATGTCTGTACACTGACTGGTGTCTCTCAGCACCCCCGTCTCTCAGGGAGATATCTGTACACTGACTAGTGTCTCTCAACCCCCAGTCTCTCAGAGAGATATTTGTACACTGACTGGTGTCTCTTAGTTCCATCTCAGGGAGATATCTGTACACTGACTGGTGTTTCTCAGCCCCTGTCTCTCAGGGAGATATCTGTGAACTGACTGGTGTCTCTCAGTCCTCTCTCTCTCTCAGGGTGATATCCGTACAGAGACTGGTGTCTCTTATTTCCACCTCTTAGCGAGATGTCTGTACACTTGTCCTTTGTACTTACCACGTTTCTGTGCTGCTTTGAAACTGTGCCACCATTTGCCCGAAACGAGAATCCTTGGTGCCACTGAAGCTCTGTGCTGCCTCCGTTTCGATGTTGAAAGCGTGACTATGCAGGAAATCTTTGCAGAGTTGGAGTAGAGGAAAGAGATGGAAAGGAATGCATCAGAATGTCGTGCTGAAGATCAGTTGACTGCATTGATGTAGAACCTTCCACCTCCTCTGCCAAGGCTGTATGTTCCCACTGTCTAACACATGTGCCACCAACACTTCAGTGGGGAGGGAGCACGGCGACTGACAGCTTTAAAGCACTCAGTGCTCAACATCAACTCGGGGACAGAAATGAGGGAGTGCTCAGGACCAAGAGTGATCAGCCTGAGTAAACAGGAGCAGGAGAAGGCCATTTGGCCCTACCTGCTTGCTCTTGCTGTGCCCATTCAACACAGTCATCTAATTTCAGTTCACTGCTCCCACTCTCTCCCTAAACCCTTTGGTCCCTTTAGCTCTCAGAGCTATTTCTAACTCCTTCTTGAAAATACACAATGTTTTGTCCTCGAGCACTTTCTGTTACAGAGAATTCCACAGGCTCCCCCCAACTCTCTTTGTCATTTCTCCTCATCTCAGTCCTACCCCACATCCTTCGACTGTGATCCCTCGTTCTGTACTTCTCGGTTCTCTGGAACATCCTTCCTGCATTTACCCTGTCTAGTCCTGTTAGAATTTTATACGTGCCAATGAGATCTCCCACCTCATTTTCTAAACTCCAGACAATATAGTTCTACCCAATCCATGTCAGTCCTGCCATCCCAGGAATCGGTCCAGTAAACTTTCACTGCACTCCCTCCATCGCCAGAACATCATTCCTCAGATAAGGAGACCAAAACTGCGCACACAATACTCCAAGTGTGGTCTCACCAAGGCCCTTTACAATTGCAGCAGGACATCCCTGTTCCCATACTCGAATCCTCTCATGAAGAAGGCCAACGTACCAATTACCTTCTTCACTGCCTGCAAATTGAGACCTCTCCAGGATAACACACAGATGTTCCTCCTGGTGATGTTTGCAGAAGGCCAGCATTTCAGGAGCACAGAACAGGGAGTCCTGCCTGGTTTGGAGCTCTTTGCAGAGATAGAGGGCCTGCTTATCGAAACTGGAAAGAGTACAGAACAAATTGACAAGGATGTTCCCAGGACTCAAGCGACTGAGTTATAGGGAGAGGCTGGACAAGCGAGGACTCTTTTCTTTAGAGCATATGAGACTGAGGGAGGAATCTTATAGAAGTGTATCATATCATGAGAGGCATGGATAGGGTGAATGTACTCTTTCTTTCCCCAGAGCTGGGGAAGAGGGCTAGAGGGCATCAGTTTAAGTTAAGAGGGGAAAGAATATATGGGAACCTGAGGGGCAAATTTTTACAGAGATGGTGGTACGCATATGGAATGAGCTGACAGCGAAATGGTTGAGGTAGATCCATTAACAACATTTCAAAGGCATTTGGACAAATATATGGATAGGAAATGTTTAGAAGGATATGGGCCAAGTGCAGGGAAATGGGTTTAGCATGGATGGACATTTCGGTCGGCATGGACCAGTTTGGGCCAAAGGGCCTGTCTCCATGCTGTAGGACTCTATGCTGGACTAGGATGAGGAAGAACAGGCTACCAGCCTCTCGAAACTGCTGCACATTTTGATAAGATCCTGTTTGACATGTTCCTACCCTCCATTCCTTTGCCTAACACCAATCCATCCACCACAGTCTCAAAACTAATCAATGACCCTTTCTCCGCCGTCTTCTGAGGTGGAGACTCCAAAGGCATACAACCCTCCAAGACACGTCCTCGCCATTCCCATCAGAATTCATGACCCTCTAATTTTAATCCAGTGCTTGCTCTTTCTGGACTCACCTCCATGAGGGAACAACCTTTGTGCATCCACCTTGTCAAGAAAATTTCAGGCTCAGACTTCAACCAGAGAGTGGGGTGCCTGTGGAATTCTCTGCTACAAAAAGTAGTTGAGGCCAAACCCTTGAATGTTTTAAGAAGGAGTTAGAGTTCTTGGGGTTAAAGGGATCAAACTGTATGGGGGAGAAAGCGGGAACAGGGAACTGAGTTGGATGATCAGCCATGATCGTATTGAATGGCGTAACAGTGTCGAAGGGCTGAATGGCTTACTCCTGCTTCAAACTTCTCTATCTCTACGTTTCGATCCAAGATACTTCAATCAAGTCACCCCTCACTCATTCCAGGGTAACAAGCACAGTCTGTCAAAACTTTCTGCAGTAGACAAACCACTCATTCCAGGTATCAACCAGGTAAATCTCCTCTGAACCAAATCCAAAGCATTTACATCCTTCACTAAATAGTTTAACTATATTTTCTGAAAAGGTGACTAAATATATCAGTGAGGGTAGTGCAGTTGATGTGGTTTACGTGGACTTCAGTAAGGCCTTTGACAAGGTTCCACACACATGGAAGGCTGGTCCAAGAAATTGGAGCCCATGGAGTCCGAAGCAAGTCAGCAACCTGGATCCAAAATTAGCTTCCAAATAGGAAGCATAGGGTGATGGTGGAGTGTTGTTTTTGTGATTGGAAGCATGGGACCAGCGGTGTACCACAGGATCACTGCTGGGAGCCTTGCCGTTTCTTACGTACATTAATGTATATTGGATGTGAATGCGGAAGGTATAAATAGTAAGTTTGCAGATTACATGAAAATTGGTGGTGTTGTTGATAGTAAAGAGGATGGTCTCAGACTACAATCTGATAATGATCAGATAATTAATTGTGCAGAGCAATAGCACATAGAATTTAATCCCAATAAGTACAATGTGATGCATTTTGTTAGGTCTAATAAGGGATGGATATACACAATGAATGGTAGGTCCCCAGGGAGTACTGAGAAACAAAAGAACAAAGAAGAATTATGGTATAGGAACAGGCCCTTCTGCCCTAGGCCTGTGCCAATCATCATGTCTTGATTAAACTAAAAATCAAACTTTCTGCCCTTATTCAGTCCATATCCCTCTATTCTCTCCCTATTCATATAAACATCTAGATGTTTGTAGATCTCTAGCAGTTCTCCTTTTAGCCGCTGACTTTTCAGTGAAAACAATCCTCGTCTTTTTAACCTTTCCTCACAGTCAATGCCCTCGAGACCGGGCAACATCCTGATGAACCTTCTCTGCACTCTCTCCAAAGCTTCGACATCCTTCTGGTAATGTAGCGACCAAAACTGCACACAGTACTCCAAATGTGGCCTAACAAGGGTTTTATATAGCTGCAACATGTTTTGCCAACTCTTGTATTCCATGCCCCGGCTGATGAAGGCATGCATGCCATATGCCTTCTTAATCACAGCAGGCCAAGCAGCATCAGAGGAGCAGGAAGGCTGACGTTTCGGGCCTAGACCCTTCTTCAGAAATGGGAGAGGGGAAGAGGGTTCTGAAATAAATAGGGAGAGAGGGGGAGGCGGATAGAAGATGGATAGAGGAGAAGATAGGTGGAGAGGAGACACACAGGTCAAAGAGGCGGGGATGGAGCCAGCAAAGGTGAGTGTAGGTGGGGAGTTAGGGAGGAGATAGGTCAGTCCAGAGAGGACGGACACGTCAAGGGGGCGGGATGAGGTTAGTAGGTAGGAGATGGGGGTGAGGCTTGAGGAGGGGATAGGTGGGAGGGAGGCTTGGGGACCGCTTTGCAGAACACCTACGCTCAGTTCGCACTAAACAACTGCACCTCCCAGTCGTGAACCATTTCAACTCCTCCTCCCATTCCTCAGACGACATGTCCATCCTGGGCCTCCTGCAGTGCCACAACGATGCCACCCAAAGGTTGCAGGAACAGCAACTCATATTCTGCTTGGGAACCCTGCAGCCCAATGGTATCAATGTGGACTTCACAAGCTTCAAAATCTCCCCTCCCCCTACCGCATCCCAAAACCAGCCCAGCTCGTCCCCGCCTCCCTAACCTGTCCTTCCTCCCACCTATCCCCTCCTCCCGCCTCAAGCCCCACCCTCATCTCCTACCTACTAACCTCATCCCGCCCCCTTGACCTGTCCGTCCTCCCTGGACTGACCTATCTCCTCCCTATCGCCCCACCTACACCCACCTTTACTGGTTCCATCCCCGCCTCTTTGACCTGTGTGTCTCCTCTCCACCTATCTTCTCCTCTATCCATCTTCTATCCGCCTCCCCCTCTCTCCCTATTTATTTCAGAACCCCCTTCCCCTCTCCCATTTCTGAAGAAGGGTCTAGGCCCGAAACGTCAGCCTTCCTGCTCCTCTGATGCTGCTTGGCCTGCTGTGTTCATCCAGCTCTACACTTTGTTATCTCAGATTCTCCAGCATCTGCAGTTCATACTATCTCTGCCTTCTTAATCACTTTGGCCACCTGTGTTGCCACTTTGAGGGAACTGTGGACCTGCACACCCAGATCCATCTGTATGTTAATGTTGCTAAGGGTTCTGTCATTTACAGTATAATTCCCCTAAATTTGATCCTCCAAAATTCATCACCTTGCACTTGTCTGGATTAAACTCCATCTGCCATTTCTGTGCCCAAGTTGCCAATCTATCCCTATCCTGTTGTATTGTTTTACAATCGTTGGCACAATCAGCAACTCCACCAATCTTCATGTCATTTTTTTTGTACCAATCTGTCATGTGGGACTTTATCAAATGCCTTACTAAAGTCCACATAAACTACATCCACAGCTCTTCCCTCATCATTTAGGAGCGGCACAGTGGTTAGCACTGCTGCCACACAGTGCCAGGGACTCGGATTCAATTCCACCCTTGGGCGACTCTCTGTGTGGAGTCTGCACATTCTCCCTCTGTCTGCATGGGTTTCCTCCAGGTGCTCCCGTTACCTCCCACAGTCCAAAGATGTGCAAGATAGGTGGATTGGCCATGCTAGATTGCCCATAGTGTTCAGGGATGTATCAATTTAGGGGGATGGGTCTGGATGGGATGCTGTGAGGGTCGTGCAGACTTGTTGGGCTGAAGGGCCTGTTTCCACACTGTAGGGATTTGATGATTTATCTGCAAGCTTATTAATCAGACCACCCACATTTTCTTCCAGATCATTTATACATACTTCAAACAACAGAAGACCCAAGACTGATCCCT